ACTGGCGCCTGGGAAATGAACCACACCCTTGTAGGAGGGCTGCAAAGTCCAGGTAGTGACATCCTAGTGACAGAAAGCCAACACCCAAGCCTGAGGGACAGTGGTGCCATTCCACAGCATCCGGCCCCCAGTGATAAGAACTCCTGCATGGAGAGGAACTGGGACCTGAATTCTAGGTGCTCTCTTCAACAGCCCAACAAGAGGCCCTCAGTCTGCAAGCACAGCCAAGGCAAGGTGTGAGAGGGCCACCCAACCTTCCTAGGAGCCTGCCTCCGAGCTCCTGGGACCACCTGGTGGCCTGAACACAGTCCTGCAACATCCTCAGCAAGCCAGAGGCTGCAAGCTGGTGCCAGCGCCCACCTTCCTGGGCACAGATGTGTCTCTACCAGCACAACACAGAGGCAGTGCAGAAGCCCACACTGGTGATGGCAAAAACCATGAGGTGTCCCTGCCATTCCCTGGCACCAACTAGGACACACAGGCCAATCCCACCGTGGGGTGCCGCTCAGCAGTGACAAAGGAACATGCTACGGACACACACTGTAACTTGGTGGCTCTCAAGGGCACCATGCCACACAAAGAAAGCCAATCTCAGAAGGTTATATACTCTATGATTCCACTCATGTGTCATTGTTGAAATGAGAGGGCTTCAGAAATAGCAAACAGATGGCATCTCAGGTATTGCGGGAAGGACTGGAGAGAACAGAGTGGGCAGCGACCTGAGGTGCTGGTGGCATGTGCCTATCTATACTCGCAGTGGTGACTTGCAGTGGAGCACAGAGCACATGTGGTGCTAACACTAAACTCCTAGATTTGATGTTGTTTTGCTGTGAGGACTGACCTCGACCTATGTAGTCAGGACTACTCATTTTTTGCCTCCCACGATCACCCCAATCTGCACTTTCAGTAGAGTCCTCCAGAAAATTCACAAGGGAGTCAACGTTCCCCTGTGGAACAGGTTCTGAGGTAGACAAGCCTGCTCGACTGTGGCTATCACAATGTTTTGGACATGCTTCAGGCTGGTGGGCTAACTGCAATGGGCAGCAGCTTCGGTGTACTATGTGCATTTTCCTCATGATGGCCTTACGGGGATGTGACCCCTTAGAGGTCAAGAAGCATCTGCAGCCATGCAAAACCAACCAGGGACAAGGAGTATTACAGGAAACCTCTGAACTTCTTGGGAGCCTGCATTCCAGAATAAAACTAAAAACTTCTCAGCTGAGGTAACCAGTGTGGCTGCTGCTATAGGTTTAGACCAAGGAAAGGCATGGGGGAAGCCAAGCTTCTCACTGCTGGAGTGGGGTCTCTGGGAAGTGAAGGGCTGCAGTGGCCTATCAGGGGCTGAACCCAAGCAAGGACTCCTGTGGACTCTGGTGAGTGTGACGCAGACATCCCACAGAGGCACAGATGCTCATGCACACAAGTTAGTGTGCACACATACCTCCCAGCTCTCATGGGCCAAGAGGGCCTGGACCAACGGCACCAGACAGCAAAACACCTGTCTCGACCCATCACTCTGTACAAAAGGAACCACAGAGCGTGGAGAAACAGCTTACTGTAGGACTTGTGCAGGAAAGACACAGATGAGCCTGGAGCATCACGTAGGGCCAGTGCTCAGAACAAATACACCTCACACACACATAAAACCATAATGACAGGGACATGGGAAAAGGACCCAGGGTTGGACTGAAAGAGCCCCAAAGTCACAACCACAGAATCAAGTAGTGCTCAATTAAAGCCTAAAATCTAAGATAAATACCCACAAGCCCATCTGGTATAAAGAAATGGGGAGAAGACACAAGTCACTCATGCTAAGAATCCCATGCAATTTATGTAGAGACTCTGCCCCCCAGGAAGAGGCACTATCTCCCAACCCATTAGGTGTGGGCAGCTTCAGAAGAGCACATTTTTCGCCAAGTGTGGTAGTACATGCCTATAATTCCAGTACTCAGAAGACTGAGGCAGAAGGACTACCATGAGTTTGAAGCCATCCTGAGCTACACAGCAAGACCCTATCTCAAAAACAAAGCAAAATAAAACAAAAACATTACTATAATTTCATAATAAATCTTGGAATCAGGTAATTAAAAAAAAAAGAAAAAGAAACACACATAGAAATTGGGAAACAAAGACTTCACAGTGGAGAAACCTTGTAAATAAGACCACAGCCAGGTGCTCAAGGTCAGCAACAGTCATGGTAGGTCACACGATGGTATGGCCCTTTCACATGACGTGATGAGAGGAGAATTGTCTCCTGCAGTCCTCCTCTCCAACCTACAACCTCAAGTAACTGTGAGGAAAACATCTGGTAAATCTAAAAATGGGAAAATTCCTCAAAAGTGCCAAGGTCATCAGGAACAAAGTGTGAGAGACTGTCACGCCCAGGAGGTGCCTAAGGAGATGGGGTTACTAAATGTCACGCAGTATGAAAGGTAGATCCCAGCAGAGAAAAAAAGGCATTTCATAAAAACTAATGAACTCTGAAGAAAGTACTGATTTTTGTTAATAATGAGTCAACACTGATTTATTAATTTTATCAAATGTACCATGCAAATGTAAGTGTTAATAACAGGATGTTTATAAGCTACCCAGTCCAGGTAAGCGTAGCTGGTGCACCAGGACACACCCTGCCTGAAGCTGCCCCTTCTTCCAAGAGGGCAGTACATCCACTGCAAAACTCAGAGCCACCCACCACTTCCTGGGAGCCTCCTGTGACTACTCTACTCCTTCCCAGTTGGCACACATGAAGACATGTGCAAGCCCTCCCACCACAGTGGGTATGGACCTGGCTGTGGTGTGCCCTGCACGATGCTCTGACAGCATGGCTCAAACAGGAACCAATAAGCTGATGTAATGAACCACCATGGCCAAGCACCATCACCTCGTTCCCAGAGACCAGAGACAGTCTGCTGAGCTGGGAAACAAGATCCAGAGACACTGAGAGGTGGCTGTGTGCTCATAGGGCAAGATCAGCACCAGGCTGTGGGACTGCAGCAGAGCCTCCACATGAGGATCACCTGATCCAGGCACCCACCGCCTAGCCTCACAGCCTTATCTTCATCTGACGTGCAAGACCCTGGCTCCAGCATGACCTTGGGTGTCCCACACTATGGATCCTCCTCCACCACTGCAGGGAGCCATGTGGAGTGCACATCATGGCTGCTAGGGCAGGCACCTTTCAGCCTGCTTCCATGCATCTGCATGCTGACACCAGCAGCTCTAGGAAAGCTTCCCTCTCTCCCGGTCATGGTTCTGCACAGAAGAGCACCAATTCTCCACAAAGGCTCTCACAGACAGCAAATCCTTCAAGTCTCTGCTTAAGCCTGACCGCAGACAACAACTCCCATGTCATCATGATGCCGCTTGTATCTTCTCTGTCATGGCTGGCGAGGTGTGCAGTTGAGTGCTGCTGCTGCCTCTTCCCCCTGGACTGTCGATCCTATGAGGACCACATGTATAAACACACTCAGGGCACCTTAATGACATGGGCAGGCACTTGACAGGCGTCTGGGGAAGGGAAGATGGGAGAGGCCCAGAGTCTTACCCTGTGAGTCCAGCAGAAGCCACACCCAAGGGCAAGCACCTTCTCTGCCAAGGTGCAGTCCTGCACTTGCTACATGAGGACACTTTGGGAATCTCCCCTCTCTGGGGCTGCAGAAGGGGTCAGCCCCACCCAGGCCCCAGGAAGCCCAGTGTGACACCAAACTGATTTAAGGTCTCCTTTAAGAGAAAGCAAGGTGCTGTCAAGAATGTGCAGAGGTAGCTGTGAAACAGCAGTGTACAGGAGCTGAAACATAATTTGTACCCTAAAATCTTATTCACCAGGAGGTCCCAGCAGCAAAACAGTCCCCAGTTCGCACCACACATGACCAAGAACAGGCAGATGCTCATGGACGTAGCTCCAGTTACTTCTCAGCTGCACCATCTTCCTGGGAGAGGGGCAGACAACACAGCCTCCTCTGCTCACTCAACATTAGGGTGAACACAGACAGGGAGGTCCTGTCCAGAAAGCTGGACATCCCACCCTTGCCTAGAGACCCCTTGGGGACAGACTTGGCTCTTGTCTTCCTTGTCTTCTGAAATTTCAGTGCCCATGCATTTTTCTCCCCAGTACTGGGGACTGAATCCAGGGCATTCACACTGAGCTATATCCCCAGGCCCCCACCTTTTTTTTTTGGTGGGAGGGGAGTTTACAAAGTCTACTAAGTCACTAAATTGCTCAGTCTGGGCTTGAACTTGTGATCTTCCTTCGTCAGCCTCCCAGAGTGCTAGGATTATAGGCATGTGCCACCACACCTCTCAAGGTGACATTTTAAGTAACCAAAAACCATTCATGCCTGCACTAGGCTTAAAGTGCTGACAAGAAAACCCCTTGGACACAACAATTAGGGAGGGCCAGGGATTTAGCTCAGTGGTTCTGGCGCCTGCCTCTGCAGAGCAAGGTCCCAAGTTCGATCTCTGGTACCAAAAAACAAAAACAAAAACAAAAACAAACAGAACAATTAGGGAAAAATGGCCATCAGAACAGTCCCCATGGCACCTGCAAACAAGTGATCTTTCACACCCTGGACCAGATCCCCTTTGGCTTCCTTTGCACTTTCTGGCAGTAAAGGACAGGAGAGCTGCCCACCTGGTAGGTCTTAAGAGTGCTGACCCTACTGTCAGAGGTGCAGCCTGCAGAGGGCAATAGGCTGGGGCACTGGATGTTACAGAGGTATCAAGAAAAGTAGATCCCACCAAGAACATTGGTGTTCAAGGACAAGAGAGCACAGTTTAAGCAAACTGTCAAGTGCATGGGGTGGGGGGCATGCTGCCCCTGGTCATGGCTCCCAGGCAGTTACACACAACTCTGCTCAAGATGTGAATGTACAGACCACCATCAGCTGGTGATGAACCACACTTGGCTGTGTAGATGTTGGGACAGAGGCAAGATGTTACGGAGAAAAGAGCAGGTGTAGACTAGTCAAGGACAGCCCAGCTGCCCCTCCAGGAGCCTATACCTTGGTTAGCAGCAGGACACGCTTCTGCAGCCTGCGGGCCAGCGCCTCGTGGTTCTCGCGCTTTTTCCTCTCCTCCAGGAGCTGGCCGCTCATCTGCCGCACCTCCTCCTGCAGCTGCTGTTGGGCCTTCTCCAGCACCCGGGCACTGCACAGGGAAAGCAAGAGGGCAGAGTGGTGAGGCCTGGCACACTGTCCCCAGGGCCTGGGACATCCTAAAATAGAGCTGCACGTGTGCCTACCTCCCTGCCGTTTCCTCACTTCTGAATAGCTACTTAGCGCCTTTCAGGAGTTTCTGGATTTCAAATAGACACCCAGGGTGATCCCAGCACACGGTGGGAGGTGGAGGGAAGCTCAACTCCACACACAATGGGAAAAATTGTCAACCACACAGCACTTCAGGACGGGGCTTCTGAATGAGCTAAATTGCCAGCGCAAGCACTTCCCGTGTGAATCACAGTCAGCACAGATGTGCAGCCTGGGGGGCTGTGCCGCGTTGGCTGGTGGGCAGGAGAGGCGCTACAAAGTGAGAGAGGCGCTGCACAGGCTCTGGGGCCATGGCATGGGACAGACAGCAGGGGTGCTGAATGCCCTCCCACCTGTCATTCCTGTCCATCTCCTTTTCTAATATCCCTTCTGCCTCTGCCTCTGTCCCCCCAGAGCCTCTGCCTCAGAGTCTCACCTACAACACCAGGACAGCCACCTAGCAGCCCTTACAGGGCCATCCTCCAGCACCAAGTCTCTTGAGACAACAGAGGTAGCTGGACCCTTCCTATCAGAGGCTACTGACCATTCACAGGCCACCCTCAGCACATGGCCACCACCCTGCTTCTCTCAAGACCACCACTCTGCATTGTCCAGTCCCAGCACTGCTGACAGCAAGACTTCACCACTGTCCAGGTGGCTTTCCAAGCTTCACCCAACTCACACGTGAACACCCAGGGAGGGACACAGAGGAAGGGCTCAGATAAAGGGAGTGAGTCAGGGCAGGATCAACCCATCAGGACGCGCACCACAGACAGTGCCAAGAAATGGTGGGACACAGCGTTCGTGCTACTCACAAGGCAGAAATCTCTCTCAAAAGGAAACCTAAATGAGCTTCAAAAACTAAAGCAGGCATTAGGATTCTCCTGTAAGGTGCTATTTATAACATTCGTGTGAGGTGACTATGAGAACAGTGCGGCTGCTTTGAAAATATAAAAATTTGGGTTGAGGGCTGTGAAGGGCATCTACAGTCTTAGATCATTCTTGGCATCCAATTACTTCTATTTGCTTTGATTACAAGATCTCAACAAAACCTTGAGGGCAACAGATAATCCTTCCCTCAGAGGTACTCTAAGTTTTTTCTAAATCAGAATTTAGTAAAACTCTTTAAACAGCTGAAGTATAATTTGAAAGTGACTGTGAATCAAACATTTATGGAACTTTAGAAAGAACCTGGTGTTGGTTCTGGTCCACCAACTGTGGTGCGGAGCCTGGGTGACCCTGGCGAGCCCCAGGCAGACGCCAACAAGACCACAGATGCTGGGACCCACATGCCAGCATCCAGGACACCACCTCTCAACCAACTGAGGGTCTCGGAAAGCCTGACACTTACATCTACTGCAAACACAGAATCAACCAACTGCCACCTGCACCTCTAGGTGCTCCATAACCAAAACCATAAAATACAACAAGTACAAATACTCCTTGCAAATAGACATATTAAGAGGCTATTTTGAGTTCCAGTTCAATTTAAAACTATTCATAGACCAATTTAATAATCAAGAACTGTGAAATTGACTCTTGAATCATTGAATTCAGGTGGGTAAGTTCACAAGTGCTTTAAATCACTGCTCCAAAGTGAGTAATTTAATTAGGAGAATGGCAGCATTCACTTGGCTATTGTAAGAGCTATGCACACAGAGGAGCAAGAACACAGTAATGCTACCTAGCCGGTGACTGGGCACAGCACCACACCAGGCAGGGTTGAGGGGAAGGGGCTTCTCTTACATGCTGTCTGTAGCACAAGGCGGGCAGGGTCTCAGGAGCACAACGTCCTTATATCTGTATGGGGGTCATCCCCCACGCAGGGCCCTCCCATCAGAGCAGGTGCAAATACACATACACAGTCACACTACAACGGCCATTCTTCTGGGCTTTGAGGACCTAGGTTCAGGGCAACAGAACCAGGTAGCAAGACTGGGCCAGGAACCCTGGCTTTTGGTCTGAGATGGCAACCGAGCCACACACTACAGTTGGGCTTCAGCCACCGCAGGGCGTGCAGGGTGCAAGTAACAGGAGCCCTAACCTCAGCTCTCCACCCAGATCCAAGGTGCTGGAAGGGCACAAATTGTGATGGGCAAGCGTAACTGTCAACTTGCCTGGATTAAGAGACTCCTGGGAAGGCGGCTGGGCTGTGGGGACACAGTACTCATCAGTGAATGAATCCACTCTCGTCAGAGGTGAACATGCCTTCAGGAGACGTGCCCAGTGGAGAAGGCAGATAGGTCATGGCATGTGCCTTTGGAGGGCATCTCTCTTGCTGGCACTGTTCCCCTGCTCTGCTTCCCTGCCACTGAAGTGAGCAGCTTTGTTCCTCCACCATGCTGCTTCTACTATGGAGCCAGCAACTGTGGACTCACTCCCCTGAAATCAGAAGAAAAAAAAAAACACCCCTTTCTTTTAAGTTGTGTATGTCAGGCATTTGGTCCCAGCAAGGAAAAACTGACTAATACAACCCTGCAAGCAGGGACGCAAGCTGGGAACTCATCGGCACCCACAGGAGAAAACGGAGCCTTCCGGGGAGAAGTGCTAGGTTCAGACAGAAAAGTTCACTTCCCACGTTACGAAGAAAACCTTTACTCACTGAGGAGCAAAATACTGTACATTTCATCCAGTGAAGAGAACAAATAAAGCCAGAGAAACACGGCCCTACCAGAGACCCGCCAGCAGGCAGGACAGTACTGAGGGCAGGACAGCCAACTGCAGACCCGATCCTGACCACAGGGGTGGAGACAACCCTGAGAGCTGCCACACAGAGCACAGCGAGGGCCATAGCTAGGCACAAGGCATCAAACAGGCCGCACCTCCAGGAGGCAGCCACCACTTCTTGGGTGGTGTGGACAAAGCAGAGAGGAGAGGATATGAAGGTGTGAGAACACACAGGAGAGCCTTGGGACCCGACAGGGTGCCGGGGCAGGGTGGGAATCCCCAGAGGGCCTGCACACAGGGTGTGACTGAGCACAAGGGGGCAAGAAGCAGGCAGGAGGCCCACAGGCAGGACAAACAATGGGCAGGGCCTTGTCTCCTCCTCGAGCACCCACACCACCGAATGGAGACACCAGGTCAGATGACAGACATGGGCTGCAGGTCTCAAGCTGCAAAGCTAGCAGTGATGGACAAGAGGCAAAAAGCAAACCCAAGAGCGCCTATGTGAGGTGCAATGCAGACAATGGGAGGCACGGAGGCATACAGAGGACGGCACCATGTGTGGGCTGTTAGAAGGGTGGGGGAGAGGCAGGCTTTCCATGGGGAGCACAGCCATAGCATGAGGAAGGGGGAGCTGGCCTGAGGGACTCACAGCCAGGCAGACACAAGGCGAGAGGTCAGAAGGGAGTGAGGGGGATGAAGGAGAGACGGGGAAGAGGCTACGAAAATGAATGAAGAGCCCAGAGAGAGGTGTGCTGCGCTGTAGAGGCAAGTGGACAACAGGCTGACAGTGGACAGGGTAAGGGGACTTGTTCATAAGATGGGGCATAGCAGCTGGGCATGGTGGCACAAGCCTGTAATCCCAACACTTTGAAGGCTGAGGCAGGAGGATCACTGAGAGGTTAAGGCCAGTCTGGGCTATATAGTAAGTTCAAGACCAGCCTGAACTACAAGATGAGACCCTGTCTAAAAAACAAAAAAACAAAAAACCAAGATGGAGAACAGCACAAAAGTGCAGCAGCACGCTCCAGGTGCTGGTCCAGCAGAGGGAGTGGAGTTCCGGAGGCAAAGAAGGGACAGTCCAGCATGAAGCCCCTGAGCAGCAAGAAGAGCTGAACTCACTGTCCAAGAGGGAGGCAACGTCTCCCAGCATCTAGCCTGTGGTGTCCTCCAAGGATCCCCAGCAAGCTTCTCAAATCACTGCCACCAAGTGGCATCCACACCCTAGGATGAAGATGGTGACATGCATGACCTCAGGTTGGAAGGGAAACTTGGCCACTCTATCTCACTGTTCCCATGAGCATCTGGGTGACTCTGTCCCAGAGCTCCCAGAATGTTGATTCTTCCCTGAGGGAGCCTTCCTCCATTCACTCTCAGCTTTTCTTCTGAGGAAAGGAAGAAAAAGCTCATAAAAAATTAAACCTCTAGCTCCACTCCAAGCTGAACTCTGAGGTCAGCGGCATTTCCGTGAACCTGTGGGAGTTCAAAATGAAGCTCTTGGTGCTTCAAGAAGAAGCTGGGCATGTTTATTGATCGATGCCTTTTGAGGCAGATCTACTGAGGGAAACAAGTCTGCACTTCTGAGAATCTGTCTTTGTGTGTGATGGGCCACCGAGGTCCACTTTAATGTAGTCTTCATCAGAAACCTTGGCCTAAGAATATCTCCTTCCAAGGAACAAGGAAAGGACATGAGATATTCCAAAGCAGCAGGAGACATTTTAATGACTTTCTCCAAGTCACTGCTGGTTCCAGCTTCTCCCTCACTCAACCCCAGCATCTCATGGGCTGTGTCTACCTTGTCTCAACTCAGCCCAGCCCCAGCAGGAACACAGCAAGGAGTGCATCTGTGCAAAGACATGGAGGGACTCCCACGTGATGAGCCCCACCTGACATGCAAACAGAGAGGGAGTCAAAGTGTCTCTAAGGCTTGACCCAGGCCCAAATTCCCAAGACACAACTCTGAGCCAAGCACCCTGCCATGCACTGTGTCCCCCAAATTCATGTGTTGATGTGACGGTGTTTAGAGATGGGGTCCTCATGACAGGATAGGTGTCCTTATAACAGGCGCCAGAGAGCCACCTCCCATCTCTACCACATGAGGACACAATGGAAAGAAGCATCTGCAGGCAGGAAGACAGCCCTCGCCAGACACCGGCTCTGCCAGAGCCAGAACTATGAGAAAGAAATGTCTACAGTTCAAGAGCTGCAGACTGTGGGAGTTTGGTGATGGGACCCCAA